CACAGAGAATTATGTACACAGGGGTTACTGTTCAGATGAATACCCAAACGTGGAAGTTCGCGCCCGCAACACGCAAACACACACACACACACACACACACACACTTCCATGCACCATGTAATACAGCCTATGTAATGGGGCCAGCTCAGGCCCCAAACAATGAAAAGATTATGTTCCCTCCAACTCTCTTAAACTTCAAAATAATAATTTTAAATCAAAATAATAAGGGTCCAGAAGTCCAAAAAGTTCTGGCAGTTGTCACAATAATTACCTTAATTTTTCTTCGATATCAAATATCAACATCATTAAAAAAGGAGGAGGGAATTTGGAGTCTATGATTTCCTTGTCTTGAGACTCTTGGCGGATCAAGCAGCACTGAAAACAATCTCAAATACTCATGAGTGTGGACATGTACACATAGAAACGGACGTACCGTCACATGTGCACAGATGTTCACAATTACACGTCTAGGCTTGCAATCTCCATGCACTATTCACGTACGTATACACGAACACCCACACATTAAACACGCAGGCACGTGTCCCCTTGTGTTGTATGCATGTATGCACTTGGCAAAGCATACATACCCACAAATGCACAAGAGGACACCTACATCCACCTGAATACACGTGCACAGATACGCAAGCACACCCTCTGTGGTCCCCACCCGAGTGTATCAGTACACGTGTACACACACACACACGTTCACACCTGCACAAACATGCACGTGTGTGCACATATACACACCCCAGCATCTGCACACTGGCTGGGTCCTAAATTCTCCCACATACTGTGCCCTGCACCCACACGCACACACTCAGATGCTCACATTCTCACACACACACATACACAATTTATACACCCAGGTTCATACACTGACACACAGACACATGCAGACGCACAGTCTCCTGCAGTTCCTCTCTCACACACACACGCACACACATGGTCTGCCATCCCTCCAGCCTAAGACCCAGGTCGGCGGGCCTGCGCTGTCAGGGAGCCTGGTAAGAATCAGCAGGGCAGCTCGACAGTGATAACAATTTCCAGAGCCAACAGAAGGGAGCTTAATCCACAGTGAAAAGCTGACAGGGCCGGCGCCTCTGCATGCTTCCTGCCAGCTCCTACTCACTCAGCCCAGCGTGGGGAGGTGGCAGACTCTTGGTGCCCTCAAGCCATGTCATCTCCTCGCTAATGATGCCAACGTTTTGACAAAGCTGAGCAACACAGCCGGTAGGTGTGAAGTTGGAATTAATTTCCTTTCAGAAGGTCAAGTGCATTAATGAGCTTTTGGCTGGCTGGTAGAATCGTTCTTCCTTTTCTCCTTTTTTGCAAGAGGGAAAGAGGAAAAAAAGGAGGAAGGGACACTTTCTGGAGCTGTTTTCTTCTTTTGCTTCTCCTCCGTTCAGAAGACTTGGCCCCTTTTCCAGAACCCAGTAAGGAGACCCCGTGGGCAGACAGATGGGCTCAGACATGGCCTGCTGTGGAGCACTTAATTGCCCCACTGCACCAGGGAATTCTCGGCATTAGACCTGCCTTGAGGGGCAGGGAATAAGCAAAGAAGAACAAAATATACATCCCGGCCTTTAAGGAGTTTCAATGGATACAAAGTTAGAAAAAAAAATGGGTTTCATTGTACATGCCATTTCTGATTGATTAGTAGTGGCTGCCTGGGGCTGAGAGGGAAAGAAATGAGCAGTGGAGGTGTCTTTGGGCTCAAGGGGCAGGAGAGTTGTGATCGATTAGCAATGCCTGCCTGGGGCATCGTATGGTGGCAGTTGCAGCATACACAGAGCTATTAAAAAAAAAGAAAGAAAGAAATACCT